TTTATCTTTATCTTTATCTTTATCTTTATCTTTATCTTTATCTTTATCTTTATCCTTATCTTCATCTTTATCTTTATCTTTATCTTTATCTTTATCTTTATCTTTATCTTTATCTTTATCTTATCTATGTCGATTGCTGTATCTTTATCGGTATATATATATACATATATATATATATATCTTAATAGTTCTGACAGAGGAGAAGTCATGCTCTTGCAGAAGTTTTTGACCGCCCCTTCGGGAGTCCTGGTGGAGTCATTCGAAGAAGCAGAGACTCGGACTCTGTTCACATTTTTGGGTTTAGGGTTGAAGGTTAAAGGTTTAGGGGGACTCTGTTCGGGTGCAGGCTTTGAAGTTTAGGGTGTGGTTGCTTTTAACCTCGTGTTCTGTGTTGAATGCGCTTCGCTCCTGCCACACATGGCAATTTTGTTGATACAATGCCCTTTGCAGAAGTTGTTAAGGTCTACAATGTCGTCCCAAGTCTTAAGAGGTTGGGTACAGGGCCCATCGGCATTCTGTGAGGAATCTCTGTCCCTGATCAACCAACTGTGCGTGAACATTCATCGCACATGAGCTAGTACTGTATAATCCCCCCTATGTTCGTCATGTGTCGCTGAAATCTGTCGCTGCTCCTTTTTCGAGGACCTCGTCGTGGTGCCGGGCTTGTCGGCATCTCAGTTTGGCCACTCCAAAGACATGAATCACACAACGTCTGACTGTTGTCGCAGGCCATTGCCTGCACCCCTACTTTTTAATATGGCTTTGACACATAACCTTGACTCACAAAAGACCTAGACTTGACTTCTAAAGACTGTTCCGTATGCATGCGTGCAGATTGAAGGAACAGAACAAGGGACCTGTCCATGATCTATCGATCTATCTGTCTCTCCGCCTATCTATCTGTTTTCCTATCTCGCGACCGACCGACCGACCTACCTGCCTGCCTACGTAGACTCCGATTTGCAAGGGGCTGCTGCTCGGGCGGAGCAGGACGTAGTACCTGTATTTGGTTACCTTCTTTTCCTATTATAGGTTCGCAGCCATGAGCCCGGGTCTAGGTAGTGTCGTCCATGGTTCTGATGGTGGTGTCGATGGTGAGTACCGCGATGCGTCAACATGGATGACGAATGTGAGCTCTGATATCATCCTGCTAGTTGCTATGTTGTGGTGATGTTGGGGACATAAGAGCACGAAAATGTTGCTTGCATTCTCGGAGGTGGTGCTATTTCGGTGGGAGCGAGCGTAGGCAGCAACAGTCAACGGTCTTGGTCGGTGGGGTATTCGGCATGGTGGAGGTCGCAACTCCGATCATCGCGAATGTCATCATCATCATCCTCATCATCGTCATCATATTCTTCTTCTTCATCATCATCTTCAGAACCATAATCATGTGCTCATCATCATGATCATGATGGGAGCCGGAGCGGAGGAGGGTGGCGACGATCACACCGACGAGCTGGGCCATGACAAGCTCTATTCTAATGAAGGGGTGGTGCCATTGTTTGTCTCATGATATTGGTTTAGGGTTTAGGATTTATGGTTTGCGGTTTGGGTTTAGGATATCAGTGAAAAGGCCCTCTTTACTCTTCACAGCACGGCCGAGGTTCCAGTTCGCAAGCTCGCGGCACATGTTCCAAAAGGCGGCGCAGGGGTTTGGACGTTAAGACCTCCATTATCGCTTGTTCTTCTTACAGTGGACCTCTTCAACCGAACCCTATGAATCCGTAATAACCTTAATTACACCAAACTTCCCTAACCATAAAGTAACCCTAAACCCTGAAACCCCAAACCCTATAAACCCTGAAACCCTAAACCCTAAACCCTGAAACCCTAAACCATAAACCCAAACCCCTGAAACCACAAAGACTAGACCCAAGCAGACATCCCCAAACCACGTCCTCGGATTTAAATCTCGGCCCCCGGAGCAGGATTTTAGGGCTTTAGGGATTTATGAAGCAGTCGTCGGATGATCCAAGCGAGACTGACGCAGGGATCCTTGCTTGACTTTAGGGGTTTAGGGGAGGCTAGCCACCAAGCCCCTGAATGCTCTGTTCTTCTGAGCCGCGAATGATGAGTCTGATGTTGATGAGTGTGAGGCGGCTGATGCTCACGAAATTATGGGGTGCAGTGGTTTGTTGTTGACTTCTGGTTTGTTCCCAGGCCCCTAAACCCTAAACCCTAAACCCTAAACCTTAGAGTAGCTTTCTGTAGCAACCGTCCAGACAACCTAAGGGATCCCTGATCAAAAGGTCCGGAAGACCAGCAGCTTCTACTTGGAGGTTCATGGGTAGTTATAAGTGGGGTTATAAGTCCCCTAAAATGGGTCATAATCATAGTTACCCTACTTATAACCCTACTTATAACTACCCATGAACCTCCAAGTAGACCCACTACAGACCCACGACCGCCAAATAACCCAACCGTCACCGTTAATCCGAGAAGCCTTAAGCCCTAAACCTTAATCTGAGAACGAGGCGCAAAATCTTGAAAGCCCTCCATAAAAGCTCTACATTCTGTCCCGATTGCGCAATTCAGCTGCCAACATTGTGCTACTACTTGCCCCCGCTTGGCAGGGTTAGGGTTAAGGAATTTCGAGTGGCAGTAGAACGGCTAGCTCAAAAATGGCGACACGGAGCCCTAAACCTGAAAACTCTGCCCCTGAGGCTAAAGCTCTGAACCCTGAGCCCCTAACAACTGAAACCGCCTTCAGTTGGTTCGAAGATGCCCCAGGGACTTTGCCGAGCTCCCTGGCAAAGTTCAGGAATGGACAGAAGAGAATTTCATAGAAGGACGTCGGGCTGTTTTTTTATGGCTGTTGCGGGGTGGTGTGCGGGTTTCGGAATTTCGGTATTGCGGGCTTCGAACTTGATTTCAGAGTTCAGGAGGGGGTGGTTTGGGGAGAAAGCAGACAGGGAGGACTCCCGCCACCACGACCTTCTAATGGGTAGTTCTCTAAATTAGGGTCTCTTTTGGGGGTCCTTTTTATAAGGGTGCCGTACTATATTGGGGACCTAAACAGGGACCCTAATTTACAGAACTACCCTAATCCTGCCAACATCTTTGCGAGTTTCGCGATTCTTCTTGGTGGAATTTCACAGTGTGGGACAGGATTGCCGGGTTGCCTGCGTCTGCGAGTGCATGTAACGGCTGAGTTTCGGGCTCTGTGAAATTTCATGGTGGACAGCTGCCTCGTCCAAGGGAACTGGAGCACCTCAACTTTATGGATCCGACGCAGACGCCGCACCTCTTCATTTTCGCGGACCACATGACACTCAGTCACAAGTAGGGATCTGTTTGCTTTTGTTGGACGTAGTATGCTGACTTTACAGTCACAAGTTGTACATGGCCTTACGATTTATGATTTCGTGTGCAAATGGTTTGGTGCCTGGTTCAGTCTTCCACTGAGGCGTAGCTGTCATCACGCGTGGCATCATCAGAATTAGGACGCCTCGGCCTTTGCTAGTATGTTTCGCTGTCGGTATGTAAAGGACGGATTTCTGTGCCGGAGTCAGCCAGCAACAGCTCCCAGCCCTAGTAACCCTATCATAACCTGAAGACCCATTTTACTATAGAAACCTGAATAATTACCTACAGTATTTCAGAGGTTCCTCATTATGACTATACAAAAATGGGCCCCAAAACGCTATTCTTATTACTAACGCCCCTGTTCTACTTGTCTTGGCCCGTTTTCTCTCAACCCTTGAAGCCGAAAAGTTCCAAATCAGACACGCTGCACTCTGAACCCCCCGACCGCGAATCCCAGCAAGTCACAACCAGAGAGCCCTAAACGCCTCAACCCAAACCCAAAACCCCAACCCTACACCCCGAAGTAAAAGGGCCCTCAGAAAAAAAAACTGAACCCCGAAACCTCAACCGCAAACCCCGAACCCCGAACCAGTGAAGCCCTTTAGCCTGACATTGCTAAGGAACAACCTCAGGCCGAGCGAGACCACAGAGCTTCGAGTAGCGGGTTGGTTCCGTAGAAGGATCCCGTACTTGGAGGTCCTTTCAGATTCAAAATGGGACACCATTCAACTATTCTTCACGGCTCCATACAAGGGTGCTGCGACTCTCGGATGAAAATACTATTACTATATGATGACCCGAAAAGATTCGCACATTTCACCACCTGTGTTACGCAGTTCTATGTTCGATACTACACCCTAAACCCTAAACCCTAAACCCTAAACCCTAAACCCCTATCTTCGGAGAGCCTAAGGGCTGAAGGGTTCGGGTTTCTGGCGCGTTTTGGGGTTGACGAAACCTGGGTGGTCAACCCTACGGTGAAGTTCTGGGTTTAGGGTTTAGGGTTTAGGGATGATGATGACGATGCTAGTCTAGTATATATTCCACCATGAAGATCCTCATATGCTGATATGTTGCGATAAGCGATCTACGTAACGCAAGTCTGTTGATTCAGTGTTTTGCTTCAGGTCCAGGTGTTCGGGTACCTTTGAATTTCTGAAATGGTTGAGGCTTCCAAGTTGAGCAAAGCTCCGACTCCGATTGCAGGCCTTGCCTCATGCTATTCGCCTCTTTTTTTTTGTTTTGTTTGCGATGTGCGCTTTCAACAGTGGAGTATCGTTTGCTTTCATTCTCTCCAACAACAGCTTCATTTACTATTCACTGGCACCCCTCTTTTCGATTTACAAGGCATGTCCTAGCTACTGGCAGCTCGTGTATACCAACGTCCGCAGTTCGGACTGATCCAAAAGCCTGCGCCATAGGTTGCCAATATGTCAGCAAATATCAGCAATACCGGGGCCGGAATAACCAGACAAGGATGTTGGGGTATACTACAGCATGAACGTAAAAGGAGCCCGAAGGCATAGTGTTGATATGCTATTCCAGCATCTTTGCTAATTAACCTCGTGGCCCCTTGCTGAACGATCTCGCAGGGAGAATGATCCTGGGGGCCTCGGCTGTTACATCACCCGGCATCCCGACACTTGGCCAATGGCAATGCCTCATAAGTCATAACTCATGATGTGACGTACCCATAGGTTCCATAGTGGTTCCTTTTTGTGGCTTATATCTAGGAGCCTATTAGGTAATCCCAAAAAGGAACTACTATGGGGCCTATGGGTAGTGTTGCCAAGGTGAATAGGCCTTTGCAAGTATCGTTGCGGGTCAACTGTTGGCTACTCGGGGCTGTAAGGCTTCAGCCGCTTGTGTGCAGTTGCAGTGGTCAGATTCTCCTCACATGGCCTTGTCTTAAGGACAACATCCTTGTCTCGCTTGGGACGGAGCTGTCGTCGCCAAACCACATCACAATGTCCACGCCCTAGTCAGTTGATGTTTCAGGGTGCGTGGATTCTGCCTTCGACAAAAAGTAGCTGGCCATCGAGCACTGCCGGATGCAATAGTCTTCTTGCACATGTGCAGCCGGGGATTGATAGCGGCTTCATGTCTGAGAGCCATGTTTGCCGAGAGGGTCATGGCCATTGAAGAACCTGGGTGCGTAGTATAAGGAGACTCTGATGACGCCGAAGTGTTAGGCTGCTCGCCCTCTTCTCCCAACCCAACCATGGAGACGTCGGAAGGGAATTCGGCATCACACGGGGTACATTGGGGGCGCCATCAATAACATTCAGCAAGCAGTACCGCCTCATTGATGAAGGCCACCTGTGGTGACGGAAGCAGAGCTCCACCCCCGGAGCTCAACAGCAGAGATGACAAGAGAGAACTTTCTCCTGTACTCTGCATCTTGGCAACTGAGTTTGGCTTCAGGAGCTTCAGGGCGACGCTGTGGGTGCTATGGGGTGTCGAATAGTTTCTGATCCTGTTCCGGTATTGTCCCCAAGTTGAACTATACTTATAGTATCACATACCCCTATGCCCTATTCTAATTATGAAGCCCCAAATCTATCGTACCCTTAAAAGCAATGCTATATCCTGTACCCCTGAAGGAACCCCATTCTAATTATTAAGGCCCCTACATTCTATATTCGTGGCTCACATCTTTTCTGGGTCCTTGTTGGACACAATTTTGCCTTTTTGTTATAATGAAACCCCATAAGGATTAAAAAATGATCATTTTTACTATAGCCCCAACAGGGAACCAGTTTTCCTAATTCCGGATAATGACCTAAGCCCCCAGATACCTACTATATAGGGTACTAGAGCCCCTAGGGCCCTATATAGTAGGTACCTGGGAGGTTAGGGATGACCATAAACTCAGAGATGAGAAGATCGGAAGCTCTCCGACACGCGTTCAACTCTAGCCGGAAAGGAAACTACCCAGGAGCCCCATGGCAATTAGCTCCTTTTTGGGATTACCTAGTAGGATCCTAAATATAAGCCACAAAATGGAACTACTATGGGGCCTATGGGTAGCTCGTTGACGCCAAGATTCAGTGAACACGCTCTTTCGCGGAACCTCAGACTGCTAATCGTTGCTTGTGCCTAAAACGTGTGTAAGGATGCGTAAGGCATGAACTCATCCTGAACGGGGGGTTGGGCCGCTGGTGCTCCATGGGTGCTTGCGGCTGCTTACGTTTTTGTTGCGTTTAATCTCTGCTCCCTAGGAGAATCTTGATTGCTGCCATCCGGTGCGGAGGCATTTGTACGAGACTGGACCTGCATTTAGAAGTGATCGCGGACAGTTCATGAAAACATCCGCCTGTATGCATGCATAGCATCTGAAGCTAAAGAGACAGCAAGACACACATGCGCTGGACCGACATTCTATAAGCAGGCCCACACATTGCTGTCTGGTGCTTAGTAGGGAATGGGGGAATGGGTTATAGGGACTACTATAAGGAACCTTAAGGGACTATCATAGGGATCCATTCCCCCATTCCCTAGGCTTAAACCCTAAACCCTAAACCCTAAACCCTAAACCCTAAACCCTAAGCCCTAAACCCTAAACCCTAAACCAAAACCCTACAAAGCACCAGACAGATTGGTTTTGTCCCCATCCCGAGCTTGTGAGCCTTGGTTTGTATACTCAGACTGGTCGGCCCCAGGGCCTCCTAAACCCTGTAGTTTAGGGTTTAG